CCCGTACGTCCGGTCCCCCAATACACGCTCGCCACCGGTGTCTCCCTCCCCGTCTGCAAAACTCTCTGACACATACGCATCCGCATCCGCATCACCCCCCTTATTTACAGAAACTACCACCACACCACGATCAGACGCGAGCAAGTGACCACAAGACTTACGCTACGCCGGGCTCACCACGCCCATCACCACGTCCATCATATCTCTTTGCTCAGTACAGTGTTTGAGTCAAGACCCTTGACCCCTTCTCGAGCTCTGCATCTTAATCAGCAAAAAGCTTTTGTTTTCCGCACAGAGAGAGAGAGAGAGAGAGAGAGAGAGAGAGACAGAGACGCGGTTCTCAAGGAGGGGAACGTTGGAACGGCATTTAGCTGAAGTGGGTCTCTCGGGAATAAAGCGAAAGGCTTGTCCAGAATTCTCTCGGAGACGCAGAGAGGTAGAGAGAGAGAGAGAGAGAGAGAGAGAGAGAGAGAGAGGGAGCAAATGGGGAGAGGGTTCAGGCTCATCTTCGCCACTTCGCTGTTGCTCATGCTTCTGGGTTCGTCTCTCTTCTTGAATCTTGATTCCTTTTCTTCTTCCACCCTCAATCTTCAATGGGTTCGCTTTTTCTCGGCTGTCCTTGTGATTGATGCATGTACTGCTTGTAGTCTCTTCGCTTGCTTGTCTGCAGTGTTGATCTTTCGGTCTCCTGCCATTTCTAAACCATTTGAAAAGGCTTGAAAAAAGGAAGCGGGAGCCGCTACCATCTTGGACCTCATCTGGGTAGCTTTTAGCTTGTCTGCATTCAGCTCTTGAAGTCGCTCAAGTTTGCATTTTTTTTTTCCCTCGTCTTGATACATTTTGTGTTTGGGGACGTGCAATGCGTGCACTGTCTCTCTCACCATTCAAAATGATGGCTTGGTTTCGTCACACTTCATCGTGACGTGTGCTCTGGGACATTAACTTGATCTCTTCTCTTGCCCTCGATCACTTGCTCTAATCAGTGTTGACGCTATGCTCTGCATTCATGTTTATGGTAAGGAGGCAGACTCTCATTCTTGCGTACAGCTGGAAGTTCAATTATTAACTTAGCTGACCCACCTCATAGATTGCATAGAATCTCATGTGGACCAACCTACCTCCCTCTGAGAGAGAGAAAGGCGCAGGCTTATAGGCTAAGCGCATATCTTGACTGTGAAAGGCATGGGCAAATTTTGTGGAAGAAAGGGGAAAAAAATATTTAGTAGCATCTGCAGATTACTGGATCTTGTCTACTCATGTGCACACTGTGTTTTGGGAGAAACTAGGGATTTACAAACATGGAAGGCAGTGAGGAATACTTTTGGCAAGGCACTGATTGGTAATGTGATGGACAAAGTGGTCTAAATATTTGTCTGAACCGCCAACCCCTAGAATAAGAGCAATGCCAGGTATACTAGGACAAGAAAATTGGTATATTAAGTAAGTGACAGACTGGAAGTGGGCATTTGAAGGAGTTTATTATATTCAACAAGCACTAGTGATTTGCCTCATCATCTAGTATAACGATTTTTTTAAACCTATCTTTGTGTACCTAGCATTTCTCCAAAAACAAAGCCTCAAGCTTTTCTATTTGAGAGGGATGCTGAAATATGAGTCTTGCAGTAAATAGTGTATGGAATGTTTTTCTGTAATAGAAGTGCCAAAGAGGGTGCAGAGAAAGTATTGTATTATACTTATCTCGCCACCCTCATGTTAGCTAATTGGTTGCCCCATTTATTTAAGCTAATGATTAGTCAGTAGCGGATTCTCTACTATGCATTAGATAGAGTTGAGTTGATTTCCATCGAAGTTCTTATGGTATAATGATTGGTCCAAGTAGATCAACCATTTCTCAAGTATACCCAAACATCATCTCCATACCTTGTCAAATTTATAGTGCTCGACACGTGTGACCATCACCAGATGTTTATAACACTTAATTCTCTTTTGGCCAATTCCCGACACTTCATTTGAGCGAGTAATTTGGGCCCTTTTTCCTCGTGGCAGACCTGTGCAGAGGAAGCACTATCGGAATTTGCTATGGTAGAAATGCGGATGACCTCCCGACACCCGACAAAGTGGCGCAATTGGTTCAGCTTCATAACATCAAGTACCTCAGGATTTACGACTCTAATATTCAGGTTCTCAAGGCCTTTGCAAACACAGGAGTTGAGCTCATCATTGGTATTCCAAACTTAGACCTATTGCCGTTCTCTCAGTTCCAATCAAATGCCGACACTTGGCTGAAGAACAGCATCCTCCCATATTATCCTGCCACGAAGATCACGTACATTACTGTCGGTGCGGAGGCAACAGAAACTTCCAGCAATGTCACTGCCCTTGTGGTACCGGCGATGCAATACATCTTTACAGCCTTGAGAAAAGTCGGTCTACACAAAAGAATCAAAGTCTCCACGACCCATTCCCTTGGAGTTCTATCGAGATCCTTTCCGCCCTCAGCAGGTGCTTTTAGTAGTAACTATGCATCTTTCTTGAAACCCCTTCTGATATTTCTTGCTGAGAATCAATCTCCTTTCATGATCGATATCTATCCTTACTATGCCTATCGAGATTCGCCAAACAATGTCTCTCTAGACTATGCCCTGTTCGAGTCGTCCTCGGAAGTGATTGATCCAAACACCGGGTTGCTCTATACTAACATGTTCGATGCCCAGGTTGACGCTCTTTACTTTGCCCTCATGGCTTTGAACTTCCGGACGATAAAAATCATGGTCACTGAAACAGGATGGCCATCTAAAGGTTCTGCTAAAGAAACTGCTGCAACTCCAGATAATGCTCAGACTTACAATACAAACTTGATCCGTCATGTGATTAATGACACGGGAACTCCTGCGAAGCCCGGTGAAGCGTTGGATGTGTATATCTTCTCGCTTTTCAATGAAAACAGGAAGCCTGGTTTGGAATCTGAGAGAAACTGGGGGCTATTTTATCCTGATGAGACAAGTGTGTACAATTTGGACTTCACTGGAAGAGGCTCCGTAAATGTGATAACCGGAGCTAATATTACCAGCTCTAACAGAACAACGTGGTGCATCGCTTCGTCTAATGCATCGGATATGGACTTGCAGAATGCCATAAACTGGGCCTGTGGACCAGGAAATGTGGACTGTTCTGCAATTCAACCCAGCCAACCGTGTTATGAGCCTGACACCTTGGTTTCTCATGCTTCTTTCGCCTTCAACAGTTACTACCAGCAAAATGGCGCTACAGATGTTGCTTGTAGCTTTGGAGGGGCAGGATTAAAAGTCGACAAGAACCCAAGTATATCTCTTCTTTGTCACCCGTTAAAGCATAATCTCTATTCCCACTTCTTTATGTTTCATCTATGCTGGAATTTAAGTGACCTCTTTGTAATTTGAGTTGGTCGAAGAGGCGTTGGTTCAGGGATAATAACACGAACGTTTAACGTAACAAGTTGTGGAACTTCCATGTTTCAAACTTGATTTAGGAGAAGTTATCATTTTTCCTCCTAACATGTATGTTAGTTTTCTCTGGATGATGATCATACCTGATTTAGGATGCTAGCGCAACTTAGCTTCTACTTTCAAATGTTTTCTCTTAATATCTAACTGAGTTTCGGGCAATGCTAATTGGAGCTTTTGGTTGTTTGTTGTGTATCAGGTTATGACAAGTGCATTTATGTGACTGCCGGGTAAATATCCATTTGCAATTTCAACTCCCTAACATTTTAAGCTTGATAATCCTTGCACTAATGCTTGATTTCCTTGTCCTTTGTAAACTCAATGCAGGAGCAACAAAACCGCTACAAGCAATGCTACGGCCATTTCTTCACATTCTTCCTCCCAGGCAGGTGAAGTCCATATCTCGGCATTAAGCCACACTATTATGACATTTTTCCTGTTATTTATTTTGATCATCGGCAACGTCTAAAGAATCATGGGGAACTCCTCAAAGAGGCTGTGACTAGAATGTGGAAGTCTTTCCACTTTATATGGATGTATCTGTGGGGGAAAAAGAATTACCATTTTTGTTCATCTGTCCAAATGACTCTGTTGAGTGCAATTTGGGCCCCTAGTTTTGCATTACCATGTCAATAGAGGAAATGCGTCTTCATGGAAAATTTATGTGTACAAATGGCCCAAGCTGGTTCTTCTTTGTAAGGATTTTGGTGGACCATCTAGTAGTCCTACGTAATTGTAAAAGTGAAAGGGGCTGCGGTAGCGAACTCATGCAAGTGATGCTAGTCGCAAAATGTGAAAACTCAAAAAGGTGTAAAGGATTTTGCCTATGTCTTGGATTTAACTGAAGCTAGTGGCAAAATGTGAAATCTCAAAAGGTTTGGAGGATTTTGTCTTTATGTCTTGGATTAACTGAGGTGGTCGATGTACTGTCTTATGTCGAGGCTCTCAAGAGGTAAACAGCAGTTTGTCGTTGGATCATTTTTGGTTATCGGATGACTTGTGTTCGGATAAGACCGTTCTACACACCCTGCCCCGGTTTGAAATTCTATGTTTTGCTGATTTCTTCGATCGTTAGCTGATCCAAACGTTGGTCTTCTTGAATGACTTGACTTAATGAAGCATCCCCAATGTGCTCTCAAAGGGAAAAATGAAGTACATGATAATTAGGATATGATGAATTGAATAGCTGAAAAGGATGGCAGAATCATTATAGAAAACGAGAAAGGGCTGTAAGGATTTATACTTAAAATGGCACTGAGTTGCAGTGGGGAGGAAAATAATTTATGATTGACAATTATCAGGATGAAGCTCTTGCATCTGAATTCTGACGGGCTGATTGTTACGAGAGTAATTGATTTGAATTACATTTTGCTGAAAGTTTGTGCCGGCTTGTACAAAAGAATTCGAACGGTAGACAGAAATCGGAACGAACATGATCATGTTTTCATGTCTTTGCAATTGCTTCCGTTTGTTGGGAGTCTAGGACGAGAAGTTATTATGCATCAACATGTCAATGCATCAACATTGCTCTCATCGACAAACATGAATATCAAACGCAGTCAAAACTTGAAAATCTATTGCCAGCACCGTAAACCCCAAAGAGGAAAAGGTTGATACAATATATGAAGTGTCGTATGTGAAAATCAAGGGAAACAAGCCAAGAACACCCGGGGAACGAAATACCTTACGGCCACACGGTCATTTCGCGCAACTTGTTGATCCAGGATGCGCAAACTCAGATGCGGAAGATGAGCCAAAAAGCTAGACCGCGGACCGGGATACCGGATGGATGGAGTTGAGCAGAGGCCTACAGGCCCTGATCGATCAGGTAATCTCCGAGCCTCTCGACGATCATGTTGCACTGTCCTGGAGTCACAGGTTCCTCGTAGACCCCGAAAACTAGAGCTTGCCCGGTTTTCTTGATTGTAATGCCTCCAGATCCCTGTTGCATTAGAACGCCCTTGAGTAACATAATAGATATGAGAAAGCCATTCCAACCCTTGGAAACAGCTAACAGGACTGGAAAAACATGGACCACCGTGAGAAGAAAATAAAAGGTCTGGGGTGTGCTGCAGGAACAAATTCACCCTTCTGATCCATATGAACAGCCCCACAGGACAGCTAGCCCAATAACGCAGTTTTGATATTCTTTATCCTTAACTTCACTAAACAACTGGAGGAAGGAATGGCCTCGTGAAGGCTTGACAGACACCTAAAGGAGGCTCGGGAAATCCTCTGGAGCACCCAAGAAAAAGCAGTGCAAGATCCTAGGAAGTCTTTGTCTTGACAAATGAAGGTTAAATCAACTGACCCATTTATTGATATTCAAATCTGAGCTCTCTCGATCAAGTTAGCCTTCTACAATGTCACTCGCTCTACGGAAAAGGGAAAAAGATCGAAGATGCGATACGATGAACAAATTTTACTTCACCTTCTTCCCGCGAATGACGACGCCGGGCTCCCCCTGAATAACCATGTACTTGGTGCCGCCAAGATGCAAACCTGTCGGGGCGAGATGACCCGGTTCCTCGAAATCTTTCAGAATGCCAGCAATCTCTGGAGCCTTGAACTGGAAGGGGAAACAAAATGCCAGAAATACTTAGAGCAGCTAAGAGAGACAGTTTAATTAAGTCAGAGCATGCCAAAAAGTTCTATCTTTCTCATATTGCATGATTCTACATCATCATTTCAAGCAATTAGCAGTTCACACGAGCTCCTCACGCTAGCTCTGCTGGAAAGCAAGGCAGCAATCTCATTTCGGTTTTTTCGTTATCAAAAAGTTGACGCAGACACAACATGTTCGTAACGTTTAGAACGAGTCGACGCAGATTGATCTGATCGCGGCCAATGCATATCGTTTATTCATCTGCACGAACGTCGATAGAGCGACCGGCTCGCGAGGCGATCAGATCGGTCAGCCGGGATGGAAGACAGGAGAAATTTCAAAGAAGCCACCGGAAAAAAAGCCGCGAGAGATCCGATCCGATCCGATCCGATCGAAACGCTTCAGTTAAACACAAGCACACAAAAGCATGAGCCATGCATGCAGAGAGACAGACCTGGGGGAAAGTGGAGCTCTGAGCCCAGACGCTGCCGTCGAGGCCAACGATGGCGGCGGCGGAGAGGTGCTGGCCCTGGCCGTCGATGTCGCACATGAGGTGATCGTCGACGTAGGTTTGCCACGACATGGTGTGTGTGTACGTGCGTGCGCGCGCTCTCGCTCAAATCTCACTCTCTACAAGAATCAGGTCACGCTTCCACTTTCGTCTTTTGATTCGGGAAGTGGGGGAAGAGCTTCGGGCTTTGAATTTGCAGAGCTAGAGCTAGAGATAGAGAGAGAGAGAAGCGGATGTGAGTGGCGTGGGATTGATGCTCTCTCCACCGCCCGTTGGGGCGGCGATTTCTCACGTCCGCCCTTGACGTTCGGAGCTTGGACGGAGGACCCTCCGTTTCTCTCTCTCTCTTTCCTCTTCAGATTGTCTTTAATTAGGTCATCACCTTTTTTTAGTTAGGCCTTTTTTTTACACTAGACTTGGATTAGTATTTTTTTCTTTTTTTACATATATTTCGCTTTTAACGGAACGAAAATTCCCTCTGAAATTATGATTTCCGGGTGAATAATAGATACTTAAAACGACGAGATCATTCGGGAATGCGCATTGAATGCCGAGATTGCGCGTTGAATTTCCGCCGGTTAAGTTTCGTATAGGCGACATTGGCAGTATGTCGTTTTGAAAATCGCCACGTGTCATTTTTTAATTATCCTCCTGGAAACTATTTTACAAAGAGTCTTAATAAGATCATCTCTTAGTAAATTATATACACTCCAATGCCACAAAATAAGATGAGAAATTAGAAGAAGGGTATTTTCATAAAATAAGATGACAAAAATTGACCAAGGAAAATGATCACTTATGCATCTAAATCAAAGTAGTTTTGATGGAGAACGGAGGTAAATACTAGTGTCTTCCCCATTGGCGAAAACGAGTCACATATGCCCATTTCTTAGGTTAAACTCCGTTTCTCCTCTAAACAATAGCAAATAGCTGGCCGGGCGAAAATTGGAGGTCATGCATTTGAATTTCACTAATTGCGTAAAAACTACTGGGATTAGGACCACGCGACAAGTCAAAGTTCAAGTTTAACTGGTTCGTAGGGCTTGCAGTGCATTTCCCGAGCTTCCAAGTAGTCAGGTCTCCACGTTCGTGCCCTTAGATTATAAAAAAAGAATCCACTCGTTTATCTTATTATTTTTTTTGAGCAATTAATTGAAAACTTTTTTATATGTTGAATTGCTCCTCTAAGCATTATAAGGAGAAGAATGGGCCTGTAATATAAACCCCCACCCACTAATCGGCCCAAAGACAAAAGCCGATTGATTAGAACTAGTGGGCATCTCGTTTTTTACCTCGAGGATCAAAAAGATGCTAACTTGTATGGATACATATAGGTCAAGAATGTCAACTTATATTTAAGGAGCACTTCTTATACATTTTTTGTAATTGTAGAAGACCAAGAGAAAACAAAACTCACTGTGATACATAGACAATTTTTATGTCTATCCTTTCAAAATAAAATATAATAAAATATAAAATACTATAATAATCTAACATTTCTGTCAATTTTTTTTACTGACGCGAATGGTTAAGCGGGAAAACTTGTTTTACTAAAACCAGGTGCTACGACAACCTTTGCCAAGTCTAAATAATGTCGACCACCAGATCCGCCTGTCTGCAATATCGACCCCTTACATTGCTAAATTCCTTCGCTATGAACTTATCTAGTCGATACTTATGCCGTTCCTTTTCTTGCTATCTTCTCGGGGTACAAGATAGACCATGCTTTCGCAACTTCAGCTGTAAGCGTACGCGGCGTTTTTAATGGAGGAGGGGGGGCCTTACTATAGACAACGAATTGAAACCGCTAGAAACTAGTACATGATGCCATAATTTCACTATCCAAACACTACTATAGCTATGAAAGTACATATAATAAAACTTTAGAGTGAGGAGAAGTTCCTTCAAGGAGATTGTTCAACTGTCTATTCCGACAGAAAGAGAAAAGTGCTGTCCCTCATTTCATGGGAGAAGAGCGAGAACACCAAGCACGGTCTTCTAATTCTATCTGCCTAAATCATGTGAAAAAGCAAAAGAAATCTATTTGCCTAGGACCCCATTTGAAATGACCGATGTACGCAAAGTCTAACAACTCTGATGACCCCCAAAAGCTTCTTTAACATTGCCCCCAAAAAGAGAATAATTATATTGGTCATGTTAACGAGTATTTCCGAGATACTTATTAATCACACTAAATACATAATAATTCACTTTTCAAAGCACGATTATGCATGACCCAAAATAGTCTGTGTATTGAAAATTGAAAAGTTTCCTTATTTAGTTGCTTGGCAGATATTTCGAGAATTCTCGTTAACAAAAATCCCAATTATTCATTCGAGTGGACTGAGCCAAAAGCTTTTGCTCTAAAGAAAACATCCACATGGGGAGACAGTCAATGAGAACATCAATAATTCCTTTTACCTACATTATTATGATCACATTGACATGCTTTTGTGGAGGGTCCTTCTTCCCTAGTCCATTATTAATCGATCAGGTTTAACTACCATCAATTCTAGGGTTTCTTTATCCAGTTTCTTTAATCTGGTTTAGTACAAATTGGTTTTGCTAATTAGCATCATATCATAATTAAGGGAATTGTAGGGTCCACATTCATGAGGTTTGGGAGGCTTGTGAGCACCACAGTAGTTGATCCTAATCACGACAAAGTAGTGAAGTTGCCCCCACCATAAAAGCGATGCCTTTTATCAAACTTCATGGTCATGTCATGGTGGCGTTTGCTTGACTAAGCAGTCATTCTTGTCATCCAGGTCATTAGTAAAGGTGAGATTTAGAACAAAACTTGATTAAATTCTTTTTTGACCAATTTATAATTCTAGAAATCTCGTCATCATATCAAGAATACCTTTACACGGTCTGCCTTCTTGGATTATTGATAATCTCACGTAAGTCGAGGTGTCGTTCTGTACACGACACCGTGAGAGACAGTGCAAGCTGAGATGATATTTATGCTTGAGTTAGCGTTCGCGCATGCCCCTCCATTCATCTTTATAATCTGCGATAAGGTCCGGAACATATTAATATCCACGTGCGAAATAGGTTATTTTGAGAGAGAGAGAGAGAGAGAGAGAGAGAGAGAGAGAGAGAGAGAGAGAGAGAGAGAGAGAGAGAGAGAGAGAGAGAGAGAGAGAGCTTCCTCTTTACATATTATCGACAATTTATATCGAAGAAAATTGAAATGGAGTGTTAGGATTCAAACCCTGGACATGTGCTCCGATACGATATCAAATAAATTATTTACTGCAAAAACTTAAGCTATTAGGAATCGGCCTCCCATTTATTCACAGCAATGATTTAAAGCAGGGGGAATCTTTATATCACGTATGGTTCATACAGTTACTGTCAAAACTGTTCAATGATACGTCAACTGTCACCTCTTCCTCTCATCATCTCCATGGAAAACCCTCACGAGGGAAGGAAGAAAGATCACGTCACAACACATGTAGAACAGAAGAGAGAACAAGCATTAGCAGACATTTTCGCTTCACGTGAGAACTGAGAAAGATGTTCCCGATCGGGTCTTGAATTGGGTCCACATAGAGACAGGCAAATATCAAACGGATCTATATTTTTTTCGACTCACTTGCGGTCTCTTTGATTGAGCTGACCTCCCTCTTGCCAACGTTATGGAGAAGACAGGAGAATATGTGATGTTATGTTGCTCACGACCCACCAAAGAACAGTGTCTCGTCGTCTTTGGATGGACCAATAATAAATGCGAGCGCCTACTACACATTCACACGACATTTGCGTCATTCAGTTCAACCTTAAAAGGAGATATGATTGGAGTGCGTGACTAGATTTATCGGATGGAAAAATTAAAAAAAGAAAAGCTTGAGCAAGAAATTTATCGGTCGACTCTTGACTAACCTTGATTGAGCTAAGGCGGGAGGTTTGTCGCCTCCCCCGTTTCTCCCTCCTCCTCTCCCGGCCGATAGTTACCGCTGCCGGCTAGTGATAAGGACAATGCTCACTTGTTGTTTCCAATGACTAGCGCTTTGTGTTATTCATTTCTTTCCGTGTTTATTCCGCGACGTTGTCGGTCTAACAGAATGTGCCGACAGTAGGCTTATTCAAACTAGATTTGGGGAAATTACCAAAAAAATCATAAACGTATTACAATTATACCAATTCAATCATAGACCTTTTTTTTTTTGTCAATTCAGTCCTAAACCGTTTGTATTTATGCCAATTCAGTTCATTTGACCAATTTTGATCGGCCGGGGCTAACGTGGACTATTTTTAGTGTTATTTTTTTCGAATTTATTTATTTTTTTCCTTTTTTTCTTTCTCTTTTTTTTTTCCCTTCTTCCTTCTTCCTCTAGCCGGGCGACAGACCTCGGCAATCGGCCAGAGGCAAGGGCTAGCAAGGTCGACCTTACTAGACATTGGCGAGGCTCGTCCCCGCTAGTGGCTCCCGCCAGCCACTGGCGAGGGCAAGCCTTGCCTGCCCTTGTCAAGGCTCGGTCTAGTCATGGTTGGGCAAGGCCGAGCTTGAGCCTTGTTGGCCCTCGCCTCTGGCTGGTCGCTGAGGTCCGGTGACTGGCTAGAGAAAGAAGGAAGAAAGAGAAAAAAAAAAGAGAGAAAAAAGGAAAAAGAAAAGAAAAGTATAGAAGAATCAAAAAAATAATTTGAAATAAATTAAAATTGTTCACGTTAGCGTTGGCTAGAAAGCCGGCATTGGCTGGTGTCCACGTCAGCACCGGCCGGCCAAAATTGGCCGGATTGACTGAATTGACACAAATACAAAATGTTTAGGACTCAATTGGCCAAAAAAAAATAATTTAGGATTGAATTGACACAATTACAATATGTTTAGAACTTTGTTTTTGTAATTCTCCCATCTAGATTTTAAAAAATGACAATCTAAGTAGTACACATATATTTGATTTAGATAATAGGTAGAGACTTTCCTTCTCAATACACCCGTCACTTGAATAATTAGTGAAAGCTATAGATGCACAATGAGCATAGAGCCATCACCACGCGCATCTTTCCTCGGTGTATTTGCTGAAAATCCACTCATGTACATCCATGAAACTAGAAGCCGACAACATTAAATTCTCGTAATAGTTGGAAAAACCTTAGACAAGACGATATCGCCATTGGGGTGTCCAAGGGCCCAGGCAGAAAATTTTTCATTTTTTTGTTGCAATTAATGGTTGTATCCTCTCTAATATTCAAAAGGGTCTTCGTGTACTCTTTCATTAGATCCAAATTATAAAATCCATCCATCGAGATCTCTCGTAAATTTTCAAAAACCCTAATAAATTATCATTCCCACAGCTCATTTTCTCCCATCAAAATCATCTGTTCACGAAGTGTCCCACCGATGATACCGACCCACGTAACGTAGC